GAGAGAGAGAGAGAGAGAGAGAGAGAGAGAGAGAGAGAGAGAGAGAGATGGTGCAAGTCTGGTGACATTATTTCACCCTGGATTTAATAATGAAATCAGAAAAAAATCCTCCAGATGTTTGCTGCATCAAGCAGGCCATGGATGAATATGATGTATGTTTTTCATGCTAATCTGGCYGCAGTTAGACAAACACCTTCTTAAATATGTGTGTGCGTGTGAGAGGACAAATTTGTTTGATAAGKTTTTCACAAGGCTATGTGCTTTATAACAGTCAGGACAAAAGGGCAATGAGTCTGAGAAAATAAAGTTTCTTTACATTTCAGTCAGAGGCACGTACAAAAAAAAAATAGAAAATATATACAGTCCATTTTATTATTATTTTGTTATAAATACAATATTACAAAAAAACACTTTACCAAAAAAAAAAAAATAAGAAAAAAAGAAATACAAAACAACTATCAAGGAAATACTTGTGCAGAAGTTGCAACCCCAGGGCAAAGAGGCAACGAGAATAAAAATACTGTCTGAGGAGAAAGACTGAGCTCTGGGACTTGTTTTCCCTTGACTGACTCATCTCAACCGTTTTCTAAAAGCCCCCCATACTTTTATTTGTGTTTTTGACTGTACACCCACCTTCCCCCTATTGGCAGGAAAATTACGAGGTACAAGGATCAATCTAATGGCAGAGCTGGATGCTGACACGCAGGGGTGATTTTTTTAAAGGTCTGCCTTTCAACTCATCTCCTGCGGAGAARTGAAAAGGTGATTGCTGCAAGTGCTTAAGAAACACCTTGTTATGACTGCCTTTCAGTGGTGCCTAATGTTTTTGCTTCTTGCTTTTTTTCCCTGGCACGCTAAAATGCAGCAAAATGCAGAGAGGTAACGTATTTCAGGACCTTTGGGATGCAGCAGATGACTTTAACATTGGAGCGCTCTGATGGTAGTGTTGCAGAGAGCTGGAGCTCTGCTCTATATGTGCGGTGGGTGTCTTAAGGATATTAAATAGTAAAGGATGGGGATTAATAATGGAACCTGACAGCTCATCTCCGGCTTCTATCTGCCTGACTGTCCCCACAATCTTCCTTTCCCTTCCCTCCCTACCTCTTTTCTTTTTTTACCCCCTTCTCAGTTTCTAATCCGCTGCCGGTTCTCTCTGGCCRTGTCCCTCCTTTTTGCTTCTTCTCTTTTGTCTCCCTCGTTCCCTCTCAGGGACCTCGGTCTTTCAGGGTCATGTCAGGAGAGTAGAAGAGCACGTTGGCGTCGTCGTCGTCATCATCGCTCGGGTCGATTAGGTCCGCTTGTGTGTAGCGCACCGCCCCGGGGTAGTACTCTCCGATTTGCGTTCGGTCACAGAGCCGTGACTGCAGCGCCAGCTAAAAAGGAGACACACACGCACACACACACACGCACGCACGCACGCACGCACGCACGCACACACACACACACAGACTTGAATTAGTGTTAGCGCTTTTATCAAGTTGATAACGTTAAACGCTTTTCTGATCGTCTACCTCACATACTAGTTGCCAGTTCTTAAAATACTTGTGTTGAACTCCTTATCTACAAACACAAATGGATGCAAACAATGTCAGATTAACAATTTATCACTGGTAGGCTGCGTTTGATTTAAATCAGGAGTTAGGACTTTGATCTGGGAAGGATATTCCACCCAAATTCACAGTGTTCCAGTTACAAATGGGCAAATCAGTAATTGTTGGGCTCAGTTACTAGACTATTGTAGTACAGGCTGATAACAGTGTATTTATCTGCATTTGTTGCATTCAAACAGTAGTGACATGTTCACTAATAAAAGTTAGACAGTATGAGTGAAATAAAGACACACAAACAGAAGTGAAAATAAGTAGTTAATTACTGCAGCTTTGATCACTTTTTATACAAGCCATGTTTGATAGAAAGGTGGAGGCTGGTGAGAAACATTTTGTCAAGAGTTCTGACTTCTGGGGGTATTCCAGTAATTTTGACATCTGATAACAAATAAAAGTTAATGATTTTAGTTTAATTCTGTAGAAGCTGCATGTTCAACTGACTATAAGAAAAACAGAGCTAAAATGAAAAAAAAAAAAAACGCAGCTTTCTAGCGATACTGATACGCTTGATAATAAATGTAAAAAGTCATAAAATCATTTGCAAAAAATGGTCATTCGTGAAAAAATAACTATCACATGATGGTTCATTATACATATATAAAGACAATAAAAACATAAGGTTATGAATATAACCACGGTTCCTTGAAGGAATGGAACGAAGTACAACACACAGTTGTATATGGGACACGCGCCCTCGTGCGCCTGGCTGAAGCCACCTCTAATCACGTTTTTAGACTGGTGATGTTGTGACGTTGAACGTCGGGTGACAGGCTCCGCCTTCACCCTATAAGTTCGGAGTCACCAGC